AGCAGTAGCAGTAGCAGTAGCAGTAGCAGTAGCAGTAGCAGTAGGAGTAGTAGATGTAGTAGTAGTAGTAGTAGTAGTAGTAGTAGTAGTAGTAGTAGTAGTAGTAGTAGTTGTAGTAGCAGTAGCAGTAGCAGTAGCAGTAGCAGTAGCAGTAGCAGTAGCAGTAGCAGTAGCAGTAGCAGTAGTGGTGGTAGTAGTAGTAGTAGCAGCAGCGGTGGTGGTTGTAGTGGTGGTAGTCGTAGTACTAGGAGCAGGAGCAGCAGAAGCAGTAGGAGTCATGGCCCGTCATGGCGGCGTTATTGTTCAGAGCCACACAACGCCGTATTAATCAATGGTTTGCATCATCACCACCGCCATCCGTACCATCGTCGTCATTTTTCTGCAGGGCCCTCATCTGCAACATCATCCTGGCCATGATCATCAGTGCCATCCTCCTCATCCCCACCAGCACCGGGGCTATATCTCATCAGAACCAGCATCATTGCCGGCATCATTTTCACCAACAAGAGTTGCAATGCCGCCTTGCCATACATGCCCAGACAAGAACAGACACAGGCAGACAAAACGCAGACACCACACCGACACGAAGAGCAAACGGCACAGGCGCGCACACATAGCAACCGAACAAGCAAGGGGACAAACACACAGACACACCACCAAGCAAATAAGCAAAACGACCGAGCGAAAAAAAAGCACACAAAGCAGACATACCCAGACGCACACACCAAGACACACGCCCACACACCGACCCGCACACACAGCATCTTCTCGAGGCCCAACTGGCGCAGCAGGAGAATCTTGTGCAGAGCCCTTCGTGCAGCGACATAAGAGGAAGGGCAGTGTGAAGTTTATGCCGTCTTGACTTCGAGTTTTGGATGATTGGGGTCTGCAGGTGTTTGTAGCACATTGATGTCCCTGGCAATGCTACATACATCTGGAAGCAAGATACACAAAGATCGTCAAAGCTACTTTCGACAACCACTCCCAAAGACCAACAAACATCTGCGAAACGCTGCAGCCGAGAATACATGCACAAGAAACCTCCCCAGTCCTAGGCTAAGGCCCTGAGCTAACAAAAGCTAATCCCGAAAAGCCTCCGAGACCAAGTAGAGGGACGGCAACTAGCCCTCTACTTGTTGTGAGAGCATCGGGGCTCTACTGTGGCTTTCGGAGAGATGGCTCTTCAAGAGGGTGTATCAAGCAACCCCCTTCCCGACTTTCAAAACACTGTGCTGAGAAATGTTGGGAACGTGCGTACATTATCGCTTCTTCGAGAGTCTAGATGAAAGCAGCTGAGACACTTGCTTGGCAAGTGAGTAGCTGTGTGTGACAGTGTTTTACGCTTCCATCCTTGAGTTATATATCTAGCTCTTGCCGTTTGTGGCCACCTCTCAAGGTTTTCCTGTGCGTTCGAAATGGCAACCACGCGGGTACATGGAGAGTTGAATCGGGCAACAACTAGCATGACTTACTGAGTTTTCGAGAAAGCTGCGTAGGCGGATTGAGGATTCGCTGAGATGAGATTCATGATATTGGAAGGCCGGACTTACATAAGGCCATCCTGCATGGTTTCTAGCATCATCGCCAGATGCGTGTTGACGTGCATGAGGCCTGCTACAGCAGCTGCAGCACCGCACTGCGGAGCGCGATGCAGGCGCTCCCGCATACATACTTGCATACACACATACATCCTTCCTACATACATACATACATACATACAAACATACATACATACATACATACATACATGCACACATACATACATACATACATACATGCATACATACATACATACATACATGCATACCTACGTACCTACGTACATACGTACATACATA